CACAAGAATAATGATGAACCAAGTGAAGCCATCTAACATAGGAACTCCTCTTTAGAAAGGGAACAAACTCTACAAAAGAAAGACAAAAGACTCAATAAAGGAAGACTAAACTACTCCACACAAATAATAACAACAAAATAAAAATATTAATAAAGAAACATAATAACAATAAGAGAAATGTTCACCTACCCACGGTGGGCACATGTTAATATGTCCACCGCGTAGGTGGCATGCACTCATTGGTGATTTATTTTTTTAACATGTGCCTACCGTGAGTAGGGGAGCATTTCTAATAACAATAAAAATACAATAAAATCTCCCTCACTTCAATCAGTCGTGAATGTTAGCGCCTTCTCAGAGGCCTAGAGACTCGACACACGCCTACAAAAGGACATTGTGAACGGTTAAATAGATCTGACGAACTTGAGTCCAAATTTTTGAACAAAGAAGATCTAGGACAGAAGAAGGGTGAACGACTACGCGAACACACGCCGGTCTTCACTGGATATCAGGGAGAAGCACTGGCGCCGGCCTTCTGACGCAAGAGGGCGAGAGAGATGTCGGGGACAAGACCCGGCCCCAACCTTCAGTCAAAAGGGGCGAGGGAGACGCTGGTCTTCTGGACGTAGATGTGAATTTATTATAAGTTGAGATAGTTTTGTTTTGTATGTAATGAAAATAAATAGAAAAATAGGGTATTATTTTATTTTTAGGATCTGTTAGACACCGCATAAGCCCCGCTTAGGTGCACTGGTCGAGCGTCTAACGACTTCTACAACACTGCATGTCAACCGTCATTGTGATTGAAACTTTATTTTGTTTTAAGAAAATTATATAGTAGTAGTTGCCATTGTGATTGAAACTTCTATTTTGTTTTAAGAAAACTATAGTAACAAACTTACATGTCAAAAGCAATGTTTGAAAAAGTTTAGGTGGTAAGCAAGTTTTTACGCAATTTGAAGTGAATTAAAGAGCGTAGAAATAGACAATAGATAGTCAATAAAACCTAGTGCATAAAGAAGACCTAAGATGTGGAGAGTTTTTTTTTTTTTTTAGTTAGGTGGTTAAAAAAGGGATATTTAGGTCAAGCTGAAGAAAGCGTATTAATTTCCTTCCCTATAAAAATTTAATATTAATTTATCATGTACAAATTAAGCATTGCTTATAATTAATATATATCTCAATAATTTCAGTTCCCAATTATAATAGCTGATGGACACCTATATATCAAACGACGCGATGCACCTTGGGTCGCTACGTAAATAGCCTCATTGTATAATTACAAATGTAAGGTCTGCGTACAACTGACCTCCAAACTCCAACCAATTGAAAATATATTGAGTATGTTGTCGTTGTATAAAATTGATAAAAAAAGACCCAATATAACCAAAAGAATATATCAGGGTCGGCCCTGGGGTAGGGCCAACAGGGCGACCGCCCAGGGCCCACCCATGAGGGACGCCAAAACATTAAGGCCCATTGAATTATTAAGACCCCACTTTATGTTTGGGCTTTTCAGTTTGGTATTTTTATGAATAATCAACTATTTTACTTACAACAGTGTAATGATATCCCTTGACCTTCTACATTCTAGGTTGGAGGAAAAAAAGAACCAAAAATATATAAATTTAGATTTATAACAATAATATAAAAAAAAAATACCCAATAACCAAAAGAATACTTATATTACTTACAATAGTGTAATGATGTGTGTAGTGTGTACACTTGACATAGTCTTGATTCTTATTGAACTTTGTCTTAGGCAGATACCCCAAATGTTAATGGAATATAAATGAATGGTTGAATTTGTCAAAAATAGATAATAATAATAATAATAATAATAATAATAATAATAATAATAAAAATATTAATAATAATAATAATAATAATAATAAGTCAAGAATGTATGCAACTATAACTCCTTGAGATTACAAACTAACCATGATTAGTCTAACTAATGATAAATAAATAAAGTGACTGATGGTTTAGAATTACAAATTACTACTCATTTTCTATATATATAAAAAAAGGACCTTTATTCCCATCACCTATAGCTTATGGACACCTGTGGCTATTGAATGGTACAAAGGTTATTCTCCTTTTCTACTTAAAAATCATTGCATAAATTAGATAGCAAAAGAAAAGAGCCCAAAAGGCAATGTCAATTGGAACCATTTTCTTGAAGCAACTGTCTCCAGCTTTTGTGACTCAAATTGAGTGAATGTTTGGTGATTGAATCCCTTCTTCAATGATTGTGGTTCACTCTTTTATTTATGGAAAAATAAAATAAAATAAAATGAGAATAGGAACTACTAGAAAAAAATAAATTTAGTTCACCATTGCACTAATTAGATATGAAATGCACATATCTTTAAAAAAAAAAAAAAAATTTACACAAATGTTTGTGTGACAGCGTAGCTGAGAGACGGATCGATTTGTTTTTTGTAAAAATGTTACTTATATTATAAATTGTCATATTTTTTTATGAAATTGTTTTTTAGAGTATGACATTTCAATTTGAAATTATGCATAATTTGTATAGGAAATATGACTGGCTAATTACTATTGGACATGTCTTACAGCAGTATTATTGTCCTACTAAAACATAAGATTATAAAAGTCGTACGTGCGCTCGCAAGGTGGTCAGATGGTACCTAGCGCTAGATGGAGATTAGTCGGGTTCGGCGTGGTCGTAAAAATATTAAGAAATATACATAATTTACAAGTTATATTATACAAAATGTACAAACTAATATGGTCAATTATAAATATTTTCTAGAATATGATATATTAATAGCTATAGTATTATTTTAATAAAACTTTATTGTTATCTTAGTTTAAATTAATATATATATTACTCATAAAGAAATATTTTATTATTGTTTAAAATAAAATAAGGAAATGGACATTTAGGAGCCACCTAGAGTAGTTCGGTGTGACTAATTTTGCAGCCATTTGGC